ATTTCCTTACCTGCCGATGAAGGGGGCGTTCGTGGGAGATTCTCCATGCGGTGGCAAGGTCGGGAATCTCAAGATATACGATGCATGTAAAGATGAGGTGGTGACGATACGGGACAAGATAATTCCAAAGGTGTTGTTGCACGATATGCGAATGATCGGGTCGTCCCACGGGTGGACTGCTTCTTTGAACGAAGCCAACGCTACTGTGCAGCTCAGCGACGAGCTCAAGCCCTTCCCCTCGGATGGATCTCCTCCGAAAGTCATATCACTGCCTCCCATTGCGCCTATGCAAGCTTGTCAGACGAAGCTCGTCACCAGTGTGTCCATGTCCTCTTCTCCCGAACAGGACGACTGCGTGGTGGCTGTCAAATTCTGGGGACCCCAGCTCAGCTACTGTAGGCCTGCTTGTGACTCGGAGTGGACCAACATCAGTACCCCAAACTCCAACTACTACACCTCCCGCCTCATGTATTCCAAGAGGGACCGTGTGTTCTATTTGCCTACTCTTAGAGCTCACTACACCAGCGCATGGGATTTCATCAACCGCAGCCACACCCCTAAGCTGAACAAGCTGTACTTTTGCAACATCCCGCAGATGCCACAGTCCGAGTGGGAGCTTTTGGACTCGTGCTTCAGGAGCAACGAGCACCTCGTGGAGTCTTGCACGGGCCAATCTTTCATTGTCAAGGTCTATGCCCAGAGCAGCGACGCACTGAACGATTCAGGTGAAGCGATGTCCGTCCACCAGACTCCTATACGGCTCATGGTCTTCAGCCTCCAGGAGGGGAACAAGGCTTGCTACACCGAGGATATTGGGGACCTCTGCATTTTTGTCTCAAACGCTGAGCCTTTTTGTCTCAAAGCTAGCTCCTTCCCGGGTCTCACCCCAAACTCCGTCTACTTCATTGACTCGGGCGTCGCTGCTTACAATCTTTCCACCCGCACCTTCCGCTATTTTAACATCGTCAAAGGCTCTGAGCCTCACCACTACGGTGCCCCTTACTGGCTTCCCCCTCTCCAGGACCAGGACCACCAGAACTAGACTCCCCAACTCCAACCCACCCTGTTGTTGTTGTACTAGTCATCGTATGATCTCTCCCTCTCTCACTTGTCTTAATAATTTATGCTTGTTTGTTGAACAATCATAACAATGTCTCTCCCACTTCTTACTCTCCTTTTCCTTTTAATAATATAAGAACAATCATAACAATGTTATGAATCATTATCCCTTTTTTTTACAGTACTGTGTAGGTTAAATGCAACAAACCAAGAAAGGAATTAGGGACCAAACCAGAACCAAAAAAATATAAGACCAAACCAAACCAAAATAAGATCAGGGACCGTGTGTTCTATTTGCCTACCTGAAAGCATGTTGGAGTTTCTTGCTGTCGAGGCGTCTGAATTGGTTAGCTACGAACTTCAAGTCCTCTGCTCGGAGAGCGAAAGCTTCTACTTCAGAAAGAGTCCTCACGGTTCTCGTGGACAAGGGGAGATTAAGGGTAATGTTTGGCATTAAAGCCCAGGTTAATTAAGAGCTCTTCACCACAGAAATTTCCTGGTCTAAGCGTGATGAAGTTAAAGAATCCTGACCGTCCACCATCTGTAGTCGAACTCTCCATCTGACCTCTAATGATGAAAAGCATCTCGTTCACAGGATCGCCCTCGCGGATCAAGTATGTATCTTTAGTGTTCAATGGCGGAACTAAACGCTCGCATATTGCGTCTAAAAGCTGGTCATCCATCTGTGCAAAGAATGGCACCCAATTTTAAGAGAAAAATTAGAGTTAGGGTTCATTACTTGAGTAGAAAGTTATCAAAATGTATGGTTAACCATTTGTATTGGACGAACCGCCTCACACTCTCTTGTAACTCCGGTGGCAATTGTCTGTGTCGCATCCATTCCTCTGTATCTCTTCTTCTGACCCTCCATTCGTCTAACCTAGCTGTTGATTGATTGCAGATAGTTCTTCAAGAAATTAACAAGCTCGTCTACCTGGATCCTGCAACGATCCACAGTCTAGAAACAAGAGGCTACAAGACGGCGAATGCGTTGCGTTAATCTTCTTTGTGCATTCTCTTCTCCAGCATTCGTGCTGTTTCTGGATCGATAAAACGTACCACACAGAGCCAAGAATCTAAACGGAAAAAAACAAATTGTGAAACAGACACTTTTAGGTCATGTGGAGAAAGATAAAGGGGTTACTTACGTGGCTCACAAGTAAGTAGAGGAGGAGATTGTAGGCTGTACCAGACCAGGCTGTTTTGGCTGCGACTCCGGTAGCTTTAATGATCCTACGGTTGAGAGGAAGCATGACGAGGAAGCGAGGAACGTATTGTATCAGGACGATCAAGGAAAGCGTGTGGTTCTGATGTGCTGCGTATCTGAATTCTCCAGCGTTTGGTATCACAAACCAAATCATTTTCTAAGAAAAGCAGAGAGATTCCTTTCATTTCAGAGAGAACATAACATATATTATGAATAACTTATACACTTCGATTTTGATCCGTTGAGTAGTGGGATCCTTAAACGATTTCAAAGAATTTTACCAATCAAATAACTATTTGTGTTCAGTTTTTCTAAAATTATGCAAAGTTTGGTGATTCAACCCAAAGAGATTGATTCTACCATTCAGAAAGTTTTCAATTAAATTAAGTGTTTTATCAAAATCTCAGCTTATAACAACAGTTATGCTGTTAGACCATATGAGTTGAGCAATAACTATATTTATAAACTTAACAGTGATTTTGTATCGATTCCCTCATATTGACTCCTCAAATCTAACAAAGCTGCAGGCTAAAACATAAAGTTCTAAATGTATTTGATACTTTTGACTAATGTCATTTAGGTTAGCTTCTTCAAGCTTAAAGTTAATGTCTCTTACTATCTCAGTGACTAACACCGATGACATGTACTGCTGTCATGCTCCTGTAGTAGTTGAGACAAATATATTCGACTAAGAAAATCGACTGCAAAAACTAAGAAAGCTCTAAAACATGAGAGATTTCCTATGCCTGAGCTAAGAAAAAGTATGAACAAAGTAATCCTATACTTGGGCTTCCATTGTCAGGACATCCATGTTTGATTTTCAAGCACTCAAACTCAAACTATTGTCTTTATCGTACAATTGAAGATGATGTAATGGGATCTTATTATAGTAATCGTAATAATAAGAATAGAGGGGAGGTGTTTTTCATTGAGTAAAAACAAAATAGTGTGTAATTATCAATTTGCTGTTCTCCATGTAAATTAGCAACGCCGAAAAAATCTCAAAATATATAAGTGTTATCATAAAGAAAAAAAACATTTAGTTATAAGTGACGTCCTCCCATGGATTTGTATAGAAAAGCTTACTAATGGTAGAAAACATCATACAAAACTGTAAATAAAAATGAAAAATATAACATGACAAATGATCTAAGGCAAAAGCAATTCAAAAACGAAAAACAATACATATACCAAGTTCGACAATAAAAAAAATACTACTACTATTAATGTACTACAAGGTGAGTACTCGACAAAAAAAATTAACGAAATAACGCATTAACACATCACACTAAAACAAACAAAAAACAAATTAAATAATTCAAGTTCCAATTTAATTTTAAAAAAATGAGAAAAAGCAGCATAAAAAAGCAACAAAAATATTAACGCTATCCACCACACAGTCCACACCATTAAAACAACGATGACGACCACCAATAAACACAAAATGGATTGGAAAGAAAGTGAATAGAGAGAAGAGAGCAAAAAAAAAAGTTAACCAATTATCAAATTTTGACTATCCAATTACAATGCTGCAATTTCCATAATATTATATATTCATACGTTATATCATATTTTCACTAATGTAATATCACCAAATTGAATAAAGTCATATATGTACTAACTCACACAAATGCACAACTAACATAAACAAACTTGTTGGGAAATTCGGATGCTTAAATTAAAACATTTTTCCTATTACAGACAAACAAATATAAAAAAAACCAATTTAATCCGCTTGGACCAGAGATAACAAATATTACCAAACACAAGAAGATCATTTTACACACCAAACTTCGAAAGAACAAAAAAATGCTTAGGAAACACATGAAATCCACGACTGAACCATCTCGTGATTCATCATACGTGGCTCGTATAATCCAAGCATGGGGGTCCTTAAATTATGTCTATAGCCAGGGACACAAACGCTTCTATCGTGTTAATATAGAAATGATGTCAGTGGCGACAAGGTGGATGAAGAACAAGATCGGTGGTGACTCCATTTTTGACCAATTGCTCACTTTCCAGCACCCATCTTCTCCATCTACGCTATGGGTCTCTCTCCAGATGGTTCCACGAGATTCGGCTCTAATGATAAATTATTTTGAATACAACTCTATGAATACATCGTTAATGAAATTTTGTTGACAAAAAAATAAGGTAAAAATGAGCAAAACATAAACAAAATATGTTAAAAATTCAAATATATTAAAAACTTACAAATTCAGGTTTAGATATGAACACCTTATCGTATACAAACAACCTTGTAAAGCGTTTTAGACAACATTCAAGAATTACATATTACATTAACAAAATCCACAACAAAACTTATCTCGATAAAAGCGAATGAAAGGTTCCTCAAATTAATTTAATTTATATCGAAGTGTTTACTTCCTTTTCAAAATCGAAAAGTATGTGTTTTTTTTTATACATTTTTTGTTCTTTTTTTAATCCGCTTGAACCCACAAATTTCGACTGTAAGCACATTATAAGTTATAACAACAAAACCCAACGAGTAAACACATTTTTAAGTGAGTCAATCTATACACAATATACAATCCAATGATCAACAAAATATCTTTTCCATTAAACAATATCAAGATGCCTTTTTTTCAAAACATTTGCTCACGAATTCCCCAATTTCTCCAAGAACATGCCATAATGATTTTAGTAAACCAGAACAAAATGTAAGGAATAGACTAATTGAACAACTGTTTATATTCCTTTATTGACAAAATTAAGAGTCAAGTATAGCAATCCTTAACCTGAAGTCCATAACCATACCAAACATCGGGAATCACCAAACTTCACAAACCTTATCAATTCCCAAATCTTTCAGGACCTAACATAAAAGAAACATGCAATTCGGAGAGCTTACATCTTCCCATTTCGGAAATGCAGCTTTAATAGACGTGAAAGCATTCTGATAATTCATTGTGTTTGAGTAAGTAGCATTTTTCAGCTTTGAACCACTCAGTTTTAATATATATCAGGTTACTCAGTCAGGAAGTGAACATGATGTCTTGAACCATCCATATTTAGATGTTAACTAATACAACAACTATAATACAGCATCATTTTTTGTAGAACTAAGTTCTCTATTGTGCTCATTTTGATCTTGAACATGCCTGGTTATTCATGAGTGAACTTAGAGAATATAATCTTTCTTTCATTCTCTTAGAAACGGTTTTATTTCTCATTCACTAGGTGATCTGCCAATAACTTATCCGAAAATCCTGTTATACTTCACTTTTACAAAGTTATGAAATCATTAAAAGTCAATGCTTAGACTTATCTTCTTTTGCTGCATCCAGTGGCTCTGATTTCACCGTACACTGTGCATCGTGACCTTTTACGGTAGAGATTGATCAGAGTCTCTAATGATGGTAACTGGCGAATTCGGGAGGGAACCCATGGAGAGACAACAAAGTGTAGGAACCGCAAAAACCAAAATAAGAATTGTGATATATAAACTAATTAAAGATGATAATAATATAAGAGAAAAAGATGAAACGAGACTTTTGAAAACACGATTTATAAATAAATAATGATCGGAGTTGAGAATTTGATTCTCATTCCAAGAAACAAATTCAATAACATTTAAAACAGAAGCAACAATATTAGCAATTGCAGCTTTGTTGTTGCGAAGGACTGTCGTGACACATATCTTAACCAGTCTGTTCTTCTCATATCCTTTGCCAATAAACACCATAAATTTCTTCAGCACAAGCTTGTCCGATTTAAGGTTAGCAGCAAATCCGGTCTTAGGGTGCCGAAAATCAGGTTCTTCCTCATATAAGGCATATGCTTCAGATTCTGAAGAGTAACTTCCTTTTTTGGTTCTCTGAACAGTCCTAAGAGTTGAGACTGACAAAAAAAAAAAAAAAAATCATAGGAGGCAACGCCTTTGCAAGCAAGAACTCAACCCCATTCAACGTCTGGTACCTCACATTGGCGCTCACTCCCATGTGCGTCGTCCAAGTTAGTGAATTCAGCACCGTCAGTGGCGGTTTATTGGGCTTTTTGAAGGCCGGGTCCATCTTCTTCCTCAGCATGATCAACCCGTTAGAGATGGCGGTTCCCACGAGACCTGCAGCTAAACTCACAGTGGCATACACCATTCCTTTGTATACAAGAGTACAAAAACGATTCATAACGGTGAAGCTTCCTTGTTCAAACATATGGCTCGAAGGACAGTTTCTAAAAATTCCAGGTAAGCTCTGGGAGACGCCAACAGTTGCTGTAGTGGGAGCTCAGAGGTACATGAGTGTGAAATTCAGGATCGAACCTACAACGAGTGTGGAGAAGACAAAATCGAACTCGTTCAATCCGAAATCAAACTTCTACTAAATCTTGGTAACCTTCTTCTACCAGCCCAATACTGTCTTCATCAGCAAGCTCATCAAAATCATCAGCATCAACAATCGAGCCGCCGAAATCATCACCTCCAACGCTGGCCACAACTTCAGGTTTAGCTTCTTTAGATCGAGATTTTGAACCCTTCCCCTTCTTCCATTTTGATTTGGGCATGATTTCAGAGAAGGAGCAGTCGAAAGAAGTAAATAAGAAGTTCGATTTAGAAGAGAAGAGAAGAGAAGAATCAATCGTGAGAGAGATTTCGAATTAGGGGAATGAGATTGATTGAGAAACAGAGAGAACCGAGAGAGAGGAGAAGCGAGAACAGAAGAAAGGAGACTTGATTTTCGATTTGGGGGTTTTTCAGTGTATAGGGACGATGTCGTTTGGCATTAACCACAAGTTTAAACGGAATTTATCCCCGTTTGATGAAGCTGTTAATAGAGATAACGGCGTTTTAAAATTGTTCAGTCAACAAAAGTTTAGGATTAAAAGTAAAGTCAACAAAAAGTCTCTTATTTGATTTGTTTTCGTGTTAATCTATGCTTTAAGTGGCTGAACAATAGAGAATGTAGTACAGATATATTTATAGTAAGATAAATTTTGCCCATACGTCCACTAGGCCAAAATAAATAACCCACAGGTCAAAATATTAAATCTAGGAAAAACAAAAATATAAGAGGGTTCATCAAATTGGGGGAATCGACCAGGGTTCAGGATGATCGATAAGCACTGTTTATCACGAGTGCTTTGTGAGACTCTTATCTGTTTCGGGCATATTTAAACAATTTATAGATAATTAAAGGTATCAAGGGGGAGTTATTCTCGAGTATTTGCAATTGCCACATTTATTTTCTAACTATATCATGTGTGTGGATTAAATTTTTAATTTAACGTTGATTTTGTGAATTTAGACATGGAAGAGATCAATGTTAATTTAAAAAAACAGAAACATTACCGTTGACTTTATATCTCAATCTAATTTTGCAAAGTCTATATAAACTTAAGAAATTAATGTGTCAAAATGAAAAGTTTGTTAATCTGCACAATTACAAAAACTTAAGGAATTAAATGATTATTTTGAAAATTTATTTTATAAAAAATACTATATTTGGGAAAAAATCAAATTGACTATAGATAGTTTTATAAATAATAACTTTTTCTAATTATAGAATTTTTATTTTATTTTACGGTATTAATAAAATAATTTTAATTATTTTTCCACTGTTTATATACGAATGTGTGAAGAAAGTCACGATTATTTTATTATAAATTATATAGCTTTTAATATTATGGAATTTTTTTTTTAATTATTGTTATCAATCAAATTAAAAAGATATGCATATCTAGTTGTCACATTTTTTTTTCTGCTGGTAAATTTTTTTGTTATCAAGCAATAAATGTTCTCTTATCATACAGGTATGGTGATGTCATTTGAGTTTTTGATCCCGAAATTATTGGTATGGTCACTATACTAGAAAAAACAAAGCTTTCTTGGGATTAAATTAGAAGTAAAGTTTATTTACAGAACTCGTTATTAAATTTTAAGATTGATTTCGCACCTAATTTAATGATGAAACTAGGTGGTTGCCCGCACATATGTGCAGATATAATTTTTTTTATATACATAGTTAATTGTAATATTTAAATATTGATTAGTTATTTAAACATTGGTATGTTTGTATATATATTGTTTTAATATTTCACAAACTTCTTTCTGAAATCAATATATTTTAAAAACATTATTTTTATAATGCTTGTAAAAATATATAATCACAAATATAAAAGTTATATTAAATAATAATTAAATTCTTATAATATTTTTTGAATATTTCTATAATATGCTTTATTTCTCCTTACACAATCTACAATATACTTTTTGCGTCTTACATAATATGAATTTGCAAATACATATATAATATATTTTAAGTATATACTTTTCTTGATTTATTGCATATTAAACTGAAATAGTTTTTACCATTTTTACTTATTCTTAAGAGCGGATAGATGGTTGGCACGCATGTGCGGACATACCAACCACCTCACTACACTTAAAATAGATAAATATTTTTTAAAAAATATAAATTATATAATAATTAAAATAAAAATTAGTTTGTAATCAGTCTTAAAAAATACATGCACGGAAAAGTTCGCATGTGACTTCAACTAATGTACAATTAATATTGATGTATGTACGTTTATTTGTAAGAAACTTGAAATATGGCTCTTAGGTGTTAAAAAATTTTTAAGTGACTTTGTAAAACAAAGTGCGAGAGATTTATTTTTTTATACTTCTATTTTTATTTCTTATTCATATTGTTTCATCTTATTATAATTTATTCTTCCGTTCGGTTATTTTTCATTTTATTTATGTTCTCAAAATTTTGATATACAATGAAAATAAATTTATGTATATATATATATATATATATATATACATATGATATAAAATTTATTTTTATTTAAAATATGATAAGAGATAAGATGAGATGGTAACATAAATTATGTACATTTTAGAAAACAACAATAAAAATATGATAAAAGTTATAGAAAAATATATGGTCCTATTAATATTATAAAATAATAATTAGTATATACTTTATTCATTTAGTAAATATTGGTTTGAAAAGAAAAATTATTTAAAATTACGTTTTTTTAAAACCAAAATCAATAAAAGTTGATTATTTTTTATTATTTTTAACATTTTATTCGTTAAATTATTTTTATCATGATTGTATTTTATTTAAAATTGTATTATTTAATAATTTGTTTATTTAAAACTTGTTTAGATGTTATTAATATATTTTTTAATTAATAACTTTCCGAAATAAAAATATATCATACTTCAAGTATTATTAATAAATAGAATTTTTATTATTCTATTGGATAATTTCGTATAATTTTTTCGTTTTATATGAAATTATAATATATATATATATATTGTTAAAAAAAATTCGTAATTATATTTTATGAAATTATGAATATATGTAAAAATCGAAATTATAATAACTTTTATTTTCTGTTAATTTAAATTTGTTAATTTTAGTGTTATAAATATAATCTAGTTTATTTATGTTTTAATTCAACAATTTCTATAATTTTAATTCAACCAATCAAAACATTTCGTTTATTTTAGGAAGTTTGACATGTCACATTTACATGTTATCAATTAAAAACACTAACTTTGATTATAGTGTTGACAAGTCAGCTATTTTCAATAATGTTACTTCTCAAATAATATGTAGTGGATGGATTTGAATTTGAAATGGATTTTTCTTAATTTTATAAAGAATTTTTTTAAGGGATGCTAGTCCCATCTCTACCAACCTTCCGCAATTTTAACATCGTCAAAGGCTCTAAGCCTCACACGTACAGTGCCCCTTTCTGGCTTCCCCTTCTCTAGGACCAGCACCAGGACCAGAACTAAGCTTCCCACTCCAAACTAAAGTCGGATCTTCAGGACTCATGAGGAAAAAAGGAAGAAGAGGGAAGTAAAACTAGGTTAAAATGTAATTTAAAGTATTTCCCATTTTCCCCAAGCCTTAAGCATTGTTCCATTTTGACCCCAAACTTATTTTATAGATTGTTGTTGTCGACCTCGTCAGTGTTTTATGGAAAACAAATAATGGATCAGCCGGTTAATTATAACAATCATAACAATGTTATGAATCATTATCCCTTTTTTTTTTTACAGTACTGTGCAGGTTAAATGCAACAAATCAAGAAAGGAATTAGGGACCAAACCAGAACCAAACAAATATAAGACCGAACCTAAACCAAAATAAACGAGTTCTAATCCTGGTTATCTAGTCTAAACCAGAAAACCCCAGAAGAGGACAATCATCAGGGGACGCTACTTTAGCCTTTGCTTTTGGTTTGGCAACATTCTTCTTGCAGTTGCTGCAGAGCTTACCATGCGTATATAACAGACAGTTCAGATCAAACTTGAGCTCATCCGGGATCCTGCGGTTGAGATGAACGTAGGTTTTGTTCCTGTCTGCAGTTTTCGGGACCCAACCTAACGCCTTTGCGATCTCAAACACCTGTTCCAGTCGGTTTTGTCATCTCATTTTTTATCTGCTTGTAACAAAGAAAACATATACCAAACACGAAAACTATGGAAACACTCACATGGGTGTCTACTGGAAAATCATTCTGCTGCAGATTGAACATCAGAACACAAGAAACCTGCCAATCATCAAATACACCTCCTGTGTCAGTTTCCAAAGACTAGCTTGATTCTTATTGTTACATTGATACCAAGAAGCTTGGTATATGAATAACAGTAGCTCTTAGCGTAAGAAGGTTCTTAAAAACTGTTACCGTTTTGGGTCCTATTCCTTTAAAATGAGAGAGCTCAGTTTTTACTTCTTCCACAGTTAAACCGTGCAGATACTCCAAGCACAAGCTGCCTCTTTCGTTCTGCAAACGGCTCAAAATGTTTTTGATGCACACAGCCTTCTTCGGGGCCAATCCTCCACATCTTATAGCATTCTCAATTGATTTTGGCTCAGCAGCAAAAACCTAAAAGGGATTGCAAAAGAAGACTTTTCAAAATGGCAAAAAAAAAAACAATCGAAGGGAACATAATACGAGTGATTGTAAGCACATTAACTACAAAACCCAACGAGGAACAAAAATTTAAGTGAGACAATCTTCACATTATGTACAATCCAATTGAACCACACAAAATCTTTTCCATTAAAGAACATCAAGATGTCTTTTTTTCAAAACATGTGCTCACAGATTCCCCAATTTCTCCAAGAACATGCTTTAATGATTTTAGTAAACCAGAACAAAATGTAAAGAAGAGACTGATCGAGCAACTGTTTATATTCATTTATCAACAAAATTAGGACTCAAGTATAGCAATCCTTAACCCAAGGCCATAACCATATCAACATGAATCACAGAACTTCACAAACCCTAAACCTTATTAATTCCCAAATCTTTCAGGACCTGGAACAAATCAAAACCTAACGGTTTGCTAAAATAAACATGAAATTCGGAGAGCTTACATCTTCCCATTTCGGAAATGCAGCTTTAAGAGACGCGAAAGCCCTTTGAGAATTGGTCTCAGTTGTATTCTGGGAAAGAAGAATTTTAACCAGCCCATCAAGCACACTCTCCTCAGTCTCACTCTTCTCCTCCTTCGCTGCATCCAATGGCTCCGATTTTACCGCATACTGTGCATCGTGACCATCTACGGCGGAGAATGATTGGAGTCTCTGACGGCGGTAACTGGCGAATTCGGGAGGGAACCCATGGAGAGACAACAAAGCGTCCCTTACGTCTCGACATTCGTCAGCAGTAGGTCTGAGAAGTGAAGGGTAAGGATCGTCGCCGTTCACGGTGGGTTTATTGGCCGGAGATTTTAAGTCGCCGTTGTCTTGGTGTAAGCGTTTCCTTTTCTGGGATTTGCTCATCTCGTACCGGTGAAATATTTGTATCGGTTTACTCTTTTGTTTTGAATCCACTGATATACCCACAAATTTCGTGGAAATTGGGCCGGTTTACTCTGATTAGTGGATATTGCGTCTAATTAGGCCCGGTTATCTAAATTGTCATGGATAATAAATGGTTGCGTTTGGTTTTCATTAGATTTTGATTAGAGAAAAGTCAGACAAAAAGATAACATTTCTATAGAGTTAAACAATTTCGAAAACATATTTGATATTATTCCTACAATGTTGAAGTTAATAATTCATATTAATGTTTGATAGAAACTAGTGTATATGACTTCCCAATTTTTGTAACAGATAATTTTGGTTACTTTTTCGAAAAATAATTACAAGCATCTCTCTATACTAGTACTAATCTTACACTTAAAAATGTATGGTTACGTAAGCAAAGACGAATGGCAAATTGGTGCCTGGATCACATGACCTTAGGCAGAGTGTTACTTGGTAGATGATAATTGATTATTCCAACTTGCATAGCTCAGGCGTTGACTATGAAACTATTTGACCAACGACTAAATCTTCGTTCCAAATCTTATATACGTATTTAAAAATAATTTGCCAATAATTGAGCGGCTTTTGTTAGTCCACGACCTCACACACACGAAACACGAGAAACTCTCGGCAAACAAACGTACGAACATTGAAACCTTTTTTTGTCGTTTCATTGTAAAAGACAAATCAAATATTACAAATTCATTCCCAAATAGTCAACTCCCTTTTTCCAGAGTATAGTAAAAAAAAAAAAAAAAATTGTTTAAGAGTGAAAAAAGAAGAAAAACCTTGAAAAAATATTTTACCAAACAAAGAAAGAGGAGAAAAAAAAAATTGAATATCGCTAAAATTGAGAAGAATAAGCGAAACCTTCTTTTTGCCCTCCTTGAAACTGAGACCGACTTAGCCCACTCGCTTCCAACATGCGGTTCCACTCACGCGCCTCTGCACCTTCTCCAAATTCCCTCTCTCCGCCTCTTATTGCCTGCAGAATCTTCGCCGCCTTCTCCTTCAACCGCTTGCTTCCATTTTCACTCTCCACAATTTCCGTCAGAATCTCCTCCGCTCCAGCCTCACTAGCCAACCCCCTAAACCTCATATTCCCCATACTTAGCGTCAACAAAGCCCCCACGCAGTTCTCACGCGCCGCCTCTGAATCAGCTCCTCCTTCTCGAAGTTTCCCAACCAGTATCGCCACTGCGTTGCCGTCGAGCATCGCTCCTTTCCCTTCGGGACAAGCCGCTAAGTTACAGAGTAGCAGAAGAATTCGGCTCGCCGATTCACCGGATCTGATCATAGATAGCATCATCGGCACCGCACCGGCTCGAACCAGCCTGGTTCGATTGTTAGGGATCAGCGAGAGATGGTAGAGCGCAAGCGCCGCGTCTTGACGCGCTCTTTCGCTCTCTGATGACCGGAGAGCGTGGAGGAGCGGCTCCACCGCGCCGAGAACTCCGATCACCATCTTGTTCTCTTCCTCAACCGCTAAGCTGAACAAAGCGCCGATTACGTGTTCCTGCGCCTCCGTTGATCCCGATTTGAGAACATCGATCAACAGAGGAACGAATCCAGACCGTACGATTTTCAATTTGTTCGGTTTCTCTAGGGAGAGGTTGACCAGCGTCGCGGCGGCGTTCGTCTGGACGATGTTGTACCGCGAAACGATTAGGGATCGGAGTAAAGAGAGGATCCGATCTGTGCAGAGCGAAATCCTCGCGCTGTCGCTGGATCTCGTCGTCTTCCTGAGCAGAATCAGACCTTGCTCGTGATCAATCGTGTCTGCACCTCTCAGTTTGTTGTAAATCTCTTCTTCTTCTTGTGACATCGGAGGGTAAGAAGAGTAGTCGGAGGTAGAGAATGAGCTATGGATCCGGTTTGGATTCTCATTTCCGGCGAAAACTTCTGACGAATTGGAAGAAGGAGAAGAATACATGGAGTGGCTAATGGGTCGGGGATGGTGAAGCGGAAGAGAAGTTGAAGACGATATCGAATTTCTCGACCGAGATCGAATCGCTCCCATCACGGAATCGTAATCCGACGGCGAGTTCTCAGCCACCGGAGGTAAAATCTCCGATCGCGCGACCCGGTTACCCGTACCCGGTTCTTTATCCATACGGGCACGAACCACACCTTCGACGTAGGCGTAATCAGGAGGTCGTGGATGCTCCAGTTTCTTCCTATTACACCAGCTGAGAATAGTTGATTTCATGGCGAGGTTGGGGATTACAGTGGATAAATCGGGTTGGGTTCCGTCGTGGAGCTTCGGAGCAAACCCGAGATTCCGGCAAACTTGGACGGAGATACGCTCGAATGTCTGACCCGAGGCGACGACGACGGGATCCGACATTAAGAAACCGGTGATTGGACAGAGAAATTCCGTCGGAGTTTCGCCGGGATTGTGCTGCGGCATAGTTGTGGCGGAGGCTGAGCGGTGGTGGTGAAAGGAGAACCATTTGTGTCTTCCGGTTTCGCCCATTGCAGAAATGTACCAAGAAGAAGAAGAGAAAGAGAAATGCTAAATCCAACACAGAGAAATTTTGAGGACGAAGAAGAAGAAGGAACACAAAAGAGGAATCTGAGAGGTTGTTGTAAGAGATTTTTGACTTCAAACTTTTGGGGTTTTTAATCAAAAGGGTACGTCTTTGATCGAGTCCAAGAGATTCTCTGGTTGATACTGACTACCAGACTCTGTACTGTTTTTTTTTTTTACTCTCTTTACATAATTAGTAAAAACTATAAGGATAATGATAAATCATTGGATCCGTTGACAGAAGGAAATGATCATAGGATATTCCAATTTTTTTTTTGTTACACACATAATTATCTCGAAAATTCATGATTCAAGTAAAAAAATTCATTATTCAAGAAAATTCATTTTAAAAGAATTAAAATGGTAACTTTTCATAGTCTTATCGGTTGAAATGTTTCGATTTAAAAGCCGCCATTACAGCATATATCCAACTAGAAACATTGCAAACCAATTTGGAAGTTTGGATAAATATCATTTCTCTATAATAATTTTAGTTTCTACATTAAACTTACACCGTTGAGTTAATCTTATCGTGGACCTAGAAAAGGTTTAGCGAGGGAATATAAATTTCTATAGATTATGTGCAATTTGTGCTTGATTAAGTTATAGTTGGTTCTTTTAAACATATAAGTAGTTCTAATTGACGAAAATAAACAAATTAAACCGATTCATGCACAGCATCATCAGCTGATGACAGTTCAAGGCGTGTTACAAACCCGTTAAACTAAAAAAAAAAAAAGGAATTAAATTTTTAAGAGTTATTCATGGTCCGATTGTTTGACTATTTTTTTAACGAAAAAAGCTTGTTTTAGTGGTCAAAATAAGGCACATATAGCAGTTGAATAATCAGTTTAAGTAGCCATACTAAAACAAATAGAAAAATAATGCATGTAAAATTGTTTAACAAACTTTAAAACTACAAGAACAATAACTTTTAAAAGATAACTTTTTTTATTTACAACAAAAAATATATTACATTTTACTCTAAAATTACATGCGACAAGTTTATCTTGTTTCTCTTTTCCTTTTTCATGTTTACTGTAATCGTCTTATACCACTAAAACTCGGTCATCTGATTGTTTAATAACTTCCTTACAGCAATGCTCTTAAAAATAATCACACTTGATGCACCATAACATAGAAGGAATCTCTAAATCCACACCACTATTGATGACCTAGGGGGAAATATTGGAGTTTTATTTTTGGCCAACAGTGGGCAACTAAAGTTGAAGCTTTCTTAATAATTTTGTTGTAGCATATGTATAAATGTAATAAAACTGTTTTAGTGTGAGCTATATATATATAGTATTTGACACACTACATATTAAACAATTAGAAAGAACATGTCGACAACTAATCGATTTTTCGCTTATTTTTATCTGAAAAAACAATTACAATAAAGCTTTATGGGTCTTTTGTTGGCCAAACAAGGCAAGTCATGGACAGAAAAATCAAGGCAAATGCTGTACTTAATGTTTTTTTAAAACAAGTTTCTTGCAATTTGCTTTGTCATCTGTTTCTCTAAATTAAAATATAAAAATTGTAATCGTTACAGTTCTTTCCCAAATAAATAATTGCTTATATGATTCTGCATCTATATGGTTGGTTTGTGTCTGAGATTCTTTAGACATTCAAGAATTTACATGTTCTACTCGATACCCAAAAGAATGAAGAAGCCCAAATCCATACTCTAATTGCAGTAGACTTGAAACTTACAAATCCATAAGGGAAGTCCACATTCAATTCATCATGTTCAAATATAAGCTTTGGTCGGTAGTATTGCGAAATGATCGAATTGAATTTCATAATAGAATGATGATGGATCATTGAGCGAAAATGTTAACTTAAAATCGAGAAATGAAAACCTTATTTTGTTGCTGTTGTTAAACCATTATGCAAGTAATTATTTAGGGTATTAATGAAAATCCTAGGTCGTGTCGTCAAAAGTTTCTAGATTGAGTTTGGAACGGGTTCGTCTATTCTTGGCTGTGCGGTCTAGAAGTGTTACAAGTGTAAGAACCAAAAGTATTCGATAATATTCATCAAATAGAGCTATTAATTTCATAATTACATAAGGTTTGTGCTCTGTTTATTTTAGTAGATCTTCTTATGTTATTTCTTAACGTTGTAATGTCCGGTATAATATGGGTTGATTTGGGATCGTCTGTTTCTCGAACCGATGTTAAGAAACCGGTTCATGTCAAATGTATGGCACGACGTCGTCTTGTTTAGTTTCTCTGTTTTCTGAGAAGGAAGTCAAACAAACACGAGGGGAGCGATCATCCATCATCAGAGCGAGAAGAGAAGGAAAAAAGAAAAGGATCTTCCATGGGCGATCTCGGAGATTCCCACTAATCAAACACACGAAAAAACCCATCTGCTAATTTCAATCGAGATTTATTGGAGCCCCCCTGATCTGGGAAGCTCGATCTTCTTAAATCAGGCTTTCATCAACTTTAGGGGATTTTTTTCTCCAGATTTCAATCGGGTGAAGGGTTTTTTGTAAAATTTTCTCGGGAAAGTTGGAAAATGGTGCTGGTGTTAGCATTGGGAGATCTCCATGTACCCCATAGAGCGGCTGATCTACCCCCGAAGTTCAAATCGATGCTTGTCCCTGGGAAAATTCAACACATCATCTGCACTGGAAATCTCTGCATCAAAGTAGGGTTTTCCATCTCTGTTTTTTGCTTAAATTTGTTCCGCGGATGTCCTTTTTTCGGATCATTCCGTTTGATTTGAGGAAGCAAAAAAGGATTTACAAATAGACTCTAATATAAAGCTTTATGTGATGACTAGCTTACTCCAAGCTTTTCCTGTATCTGGGTTGTTCAGAATTACTTTCTTACTTGTGATGATGGAACTGCAAAGTGATAATCTCAGCACTGGTGATGAGTCATTTATGAGGATTCAGTGATGTTGGTGCTAAGGAGTTGCATTCTATTTGTGTGTTTGGCTTTCCTTTTGTAAACTTACCTGATCTGTGGAAGTCTTTTTCTGGTTCATGTTTGTGGGGGTAATCTTAGCATTCTTCTCACTGTGTTTTAGGAAATCCATGACTACTTGAAGACTATCTGCCCTGATTTGCATATAGTTCGAGGGGAGTTTGATGAAGACGCCCGATACCCTGAGAACAAAACCTTGACTATCGGGCAGTTCAAGCTGGGACTGTGCCATGGCCACCAGGTTTCAGCTTTTCGTCTCTTTCGCATTTCATGATGAGCATTTGCAGCATATGAATACTCCCTCGTATCATACATACATAGCAGCATACTGAATTTTTGCTTGCCTTTACCTTATTGTCTTGTTGTGTGTGTGTTTTACCCAGTGAATCTCAAAGTTTGCTCGCTTGTTGCTATTTGCATGATAATGCTCAGAGTTCATCATACCAAATAGCTATCTCTATACTCCTAACATTTTGATATGGTAAACAATGATAAAATTGCTTTGGAGAATAGTAAACGGTGAAAGTCTAGGATTTGAAAAGTTTCAGCACTGTTGATTTCCCATGGCGAATGTTTTAGACTAACACTATGAAGGAGATGCCTCCTTTGGCTTTGTTTCTCTCTTTATCCATGTCTTGTCGTCATGAAAATTGGTTTCTTTCACTCATCCATGTTCCTTAGGATGATGCCATGGTGCTGGGTTTTTGCAGCGATATTAAGAAAGAGCTTGTCTATTCGTTGTACAGGTGATCCCATGGGGTGATCTAGACTCGCTAGCGATGCTTCAGAGGCAACTCGACGTGGACATACTTGTAACAGGCCACACCCACCAGTTCACAGCATACAAACACGAGGGAGGAGTCGTGATAAACCCGGGCTCTGCAACCGGAGCTTATAGCAGCATAAACCAAGATGTTAACCCGAGCTTTGTTCTCATGGATATCGATGGCCTTCGAGTTGTGGTCTATGTCTATGAGCTCATCGATGGAGAGGTTAAAGTCGACAAGATCGATTTCAAGAAGACCTCCACTTCCAACTCTGCCCCTTAGCGCGCAATTAACAACAACCTGAACCCCCGTTTTTATGTTTTGGTCTGGAATCACTCTTGAAATTTGCAACTTTCTTTAGCTTTTGCTTGTGAAAATAATCTTTAAAGATTTGGAAATTGGACCACTGAGAACAAATGTTTTGCAACCCTCTTTCAAGTTGATAGACTTTGGTTAAAGCGTGTACAGTTAAAAATTCTATTTGAGGCTCTTTCTGTTTGAAAAGGCTTTGCTAGTATCCGAGATTTGTTCTTTAGCTTCCGATTAAAGGACGATATGACCCTCTCTCATCGCATTTTCAAGTTTCGATATAAAATTGTGGATGGAGACTTCATATAACACTAGCTTTTGGTATAATGTAATGTTGCTCTCTAGAGAAGTGCAACTTTCAGATTAGGATCAAACCATTGGGTATATACTATTTGGAACCTAAAATCCGGAAAACGAGGAACACATGCATGTCTGATCATGTTGACGTTGAGATGATTCAGCTAGAAATGCAACAATATGAGGGGGTAATCGAAGATATCTAAAGAGGAAACAAATTCTTTTGGAATTAGCTTGATAATTCATCTGCATTGATGGTACGATCGAGAATATAGTATTTATCAAGTAAACGTTTTCAATACGTTCCAAGAAACGTTCTCTCTTTCGGAAATTTGGTCGAACACAGAGTCATCAAAAGAAGATGGCTAAATAAAAACCCAATGGCCTAAGAAGCACGAGATCACGCTATGGAAACTCATTATGTAAGTTTCTTTTGGTTTAATAAATTTTCACATATAAAAAAAGAGATCAAATATATAAATTTAAAAATTAGTCGCAAAAAAAGAAAGAGAAAAAGGGTTTTATTGATGTGCATTACAAGACTTTCATTTATACTAATTAAACGCAGTTACGTACTATAAACATAACTCTATATATGCGTTTCTTTCACACCAATTTGTATTATTCATATTATGAGTAAACGTGTACGTAGGTAATTATTAGGTATAATTAAGTGTTCCAAATCTCTTAATGAGTCACTAATGCTTGCAGGCAGTCGCACATTCTTTGTTTGTCGCAAAACATTTCTTTGGCGATGTGACGCAGCAAGAACATTGTCCTGTTTTGACAAGGTTGCACTTTAGTGGCATGCAACTTGAACTAACACTCCCCGCAGGCGCTTTCGCACCTATAAAAACGAACAACAAAACCATTAAAATAAAATAAAAAAATTATAAAGAAGAAGATTATATGATCACAGCGTCGATGATGATAGTGATGAACACAAAATAATCTACATATATAATTTCATATACATACTCTCATGTAGAGGAACAAGGGAAATCATGATGATACAAAGGATAGCAAGATGTGATGATGACATTATTGCATTTTTCTTTTTTCAAATTATTAACTAATTTTTTCTTTTTCGTTTTTTGATGGTAGAAATCTCTACGCAGAATATGGATTTATATAGATAAAATGTCATTTATACTGCATGTTTCTATGGTGATCCATTCAAAACTGCTAGGTTTGTTTGACTAGTTTTAGTTCATTCCTATTCCGCACTAATAGGTTGTTGATATAGTTAGTGTCTTAGAGAATTAGCTAGACAAAGTACAATGTTCTTTGGAGAAACATGCGGTTTATCAAATGTTTAGCAAAACAAAAAGTAAAAGACGTGCAGATATTAAATTAACAATAGGAATGAATAAAAAAATGAATGAAAAGAACAAAATAATAGGAATTATTGTTTTTTTTCATTTTTGATAGGAAATATATTAATATTATAATTTCCTAAAACATAAAGAATGAAAAGAAATCATGGATATCATTTTTTTTTTTAAATAGTGTAATTTTTAAAAAATGATAAAGAATTTAATATTCATTTTCATTTCTATGATCACCAGTTAGTGCCCTAATCTATATAGAATTATTTGAATGTCCTCATTTCTTTATCAAAGTATTTTATTTTTGTATATTTTCTTAATCGTAAAATGTAGTTTGTTGTGCATGTGGTGTTCCATAAAAATTTGCAGTTCTCGTTTTTTTTTCTATTTACTTTCTATGAATAATTTGCTTAAAGAATTAGTCAAACAAATTACAATACTCTATGGCAAAATGTACGGTATATCATTAATTAAATTTGTTCTTTGTTTTTATTGACATTGATGGTTTTCGAGTTGTGGTCTTGTGACTATGAGTTTATCGATGGGGAGGTTAAAGTCGACAAGAAAGATTTCAAGAAGACCTCCACAATCAACTCTAGTCCATAAAAAAACCTGAACCCGTTCTATATTTTCTTTCTGAAATCACTCTTGAAATTTACAACTTTCTTTAACTTGTTTGTGCCAATAATTTTTAAAGATTTGAAAATTGGACCACTGAGAACAATGTTTTTTGCAAGTCTCTTGAAGTTTATCATCTGCATTGCAAATCTTTTAGATAAGTTTCTCAATAATTATAAATAAATAAATATTATTATTTAATAACGCAAGTCTCTCGAAAAAAAGTGAGAGACTCACTCTATAGTCTTTTAAATGAGAGATTTTGAATTGAGTCTTTCACTTTTTTTTTAAGAAAATCTCATTATAAATATTAATATTTATTATCTATTAAAATATTGTTGAGAAATTTAGACCATCTCCAACGGCAGTTCTTAAAGTAGTCTTAACAAAAAAAGAGAAAAATCAGAAACGCTTCTGATTTAAGAGTTTTAAGAGACGACTCTAACCAGATCAATTAATAATTAGCTCATTTTTATATAATTTTAATTTTATTTAAATAAATAAACTATATTAGTATTATATAAGAGAGACTACGGGAAGAACTTTTGTCGTTGCTAATGCTCTTGCTCTTATAGACTTAAGTTCAAGTGTGCACAGAGAAAATTCTATTCGATGCTCTTTTTGTCAGAACAACTCAAGCTTGCTGGTAACACGTTCGAATAAAATGATCTTTTGTTCTGCTTTTACATTTTCCGAGATGCAAGCAAAAAAGAAAAAAAGAAAAAAATGTTTCCCCGATGACACCTAGACCGACGAACCTTTCATCTTCATAGCACGGTTCACAATCATTGGGATGCCGTGGAAAGAGGTCTCGTCGATAAGGCTCGAGCCAATCGGCCTGATGTCCCAAAAGGGGCCATCGATGGCTGTCTTTGAACCGAAACTTGCGAGGTAAGGATGTTTAGAGAACATCCTGATGTGTCTGAGAGTATGCGGCATCAGTTTCCTCCAGAGGAGAGAGGTTATGAGCAGTGCTTCTCAGCTTAAAGCAGAACTCATAGAGAGACCACTTATCAGCAGAGCATCTTGGAGTTTCGGGAAGGTGTTTCGGGTTAATGAGACAAACCACGACTTGGTTAACAGCTGTGCCATGAGGTGAACAGTCAGCAAGAGTGCCGGATCCATTAAAGTATGAGGCAGCAGAGATGGCAACTTTTTGACTTGTGTAAACCAAGCCATGCTTTGTTTCATGTGGAGGAAAGAGGAGATACTGGTCAAGCTATTGCTAGCAGCAGTGGGGACGACGTCAAAATCTTGATGCGTTCAGAGAATGCTTCGTTCAACTTCTGGTTGGCTTCACAGTTATACTGTAAGCCAGGAGACACAAGAGACCAACGATCATCGTGAGCGCCAAAAATATGATAGCCGAAGGTGGAGACATCGTCTTCTTTAACTGGGACGTGCTTGCCTAGTTTTGGATAAACAGGAGGTTGCTGCGTGAACAGACGATTTAGATCTTCCAAGAGAGCGAAGATGCCAGGAACGTTTGTCAAGAAGTGCATTTCCACGATGTTAAAGGAGATATGAGTACATTTTCTAAAAAGCTTTCTCTACCAATAACTTAAACACTAGGCTAAGCTTGAAAGAGTGAGTGGCAACCTGCTAACATCAGAATTCAACTCGCATATTGTTTGCTTAGTATTGCTGGTAATCAACTTCTTGCTCTTACTCATTGAGAAAATGAATTGGAAGTAGAATCTTTTGCAACCAAAGACTAGTAACAGTAACAGGCGAATCCGGAAAATCTTTCAAAAACCCTAAGATATTGTACATGAGGGATCATATGAAAGAGCAGATAAGGATGGAAGTGGGAACTTAAAAACCGGAACACATACATATCATGTTAACGTTGAGATGATTCAGCTAGAAATGCAACAATTTGACAGGGTAATCGAAGATATCTACAGAGAAAACAGATTCTTTTGGAACCAGCTTGATCATTCATCTGCATTGATGGTACGATCAAGAATATAATCTTTATCAAAAAGATCGTCTTCAATACGTTCCTAGAAACGTTCTCTCTTTCGAAAATTTGGTCGAACAGTACTTAATTCACATCTATCAGAGTCATGAAAAGAAGATGGCCGAATGAAAACCTAATGGCTTAAGAAGCACGAGATCACGCTATGAAAACTCGTTGGGATCCGCTCTATCCGCTCCACCGAATCTTTCAGGTGGAACAGATATTAGGCTATGGAAACAGGAAACACGGTCCGAAAGAATTCAAGAACATCTTCTCCGCAAGGAAAACGTACGTGGGATCAGACTCGAGAAACTCATCCGCATGTACCGTGGTACTTGGGGCAGGAACCTGTTCCACAGTTTTCATTCTTTAATCTTTTACCTCATTATGTAAGTTTCTTTTGGTTTACTAAATTTCACATATAAAAAAAAGAGATCAAATATATATATATATATATATATATATATATATATATAAGAAATGAATCGCAAAAAAGAAAGAGAAAAAGGGTTTTATAAATGTGCATTACAAGACTTTCATTTATACTAATTAAACGCAGTTACGTACTATAAACATAACTCTATATATGTGTTTCTTTCACATCAATTTGTATTATTCATATTATGAGTAAACGTGTACGTAGGTAATTATTAGGTATAATTAAGTGTTTCAAATCTCTTAATGAGTCACTAATGCTTGCAGGCAGTCGCACATTCTTTGTTTGTCGCAAAACATTTCTTCGGCGATGTGACGCAGCAAGAACATTGTCCTGTTTTGACAAGGTTGCACTTTAGTGGCATGCAACTTGAACTAACACTCCCCGCAGGCGCTTTCGCACCTATAAAAACGAACAACAAAACCATTAAAATAAAATAAAAAAATTATAAAGAAGAAGATTATATTATCACAGCGTCGATGATAATAGTGATGCTTCAACAAAAAAAGATGATGATAGTGATGAACACAAAATAATCTATATATATGAATAATTTCATATACATACTCTCATGTAGAGGAACAAGGGAAATCATGATGATACAAAGGATAGCAAGATGTGATGATGACATTATTGTATTTTTCTTTTCCAAATTACTAACTTTTTTTTCTTTTTTGTGTGTTTGATGGTAGAAATCTCTACGCAGAATATGGATTTATATAGATAAAATGTCATTTGTACTGCATGTATCTATGGCGATCCATTCAAAACTGCTAGGTTTGTTTGACTAGTTTTAGTTCATTCCTATTCCGCAGTAATAGGTTGTTGATATAATTAGTGTCTTAATTAGCTAGACAAAGTACAATGTTCTTTGGAGAAACATGCGGTTTATCAAATGATTAGCAAAACAAAAGTAAACGACGTGCGGGTGTTAAATTAACAATAGAAATAAATAGGAATAAATAGGAAAATGAATGAAAGGAATAAAATTATAGAAATGATTGTTTCTTCTCATTTTTGATAGGGAATATTAACATTATAATTCCCTAAAACACAAGGAATGAAAAAGAATTATGGGTATAATATATATTTTTTAAATATTGTAATTTTTAAGGAATAACAAGGAATTTAATATTTATTTTCATTCATATGGTCATCAGTTAGAGCCCTAATCTATATAAAATTATTTGGATGTTCTCATTTCTTTATCAAATTATTTTATTTTTGTATTTTTTTATCGTAAAATGTAGTTTGTTGTGCATGTGGTGTTCCATAAAAATTTACAGTTATAGTTTTTTTTTTACTTTCTATGAATAATTTGCTTAAAGAATTAGTCAAACAAATTACAATACTCTATGGCAAAATGTACGGTATATCATTAATTAAATTTATTACATTGATGGTTTTCGAGTTGTGGTCTTGTTACTATCAGTTTATCGATGGAGTGGTTAAAGTCGACAAGATAGATTTCAAGAAAATCTCCACAATCAACTCTGGTCCATAAAAAAACCTGAACCCGTTCTATATTTTCTTCTGAAATCACTCTTGAAATTTGCAACTTTCTTTAACTTGTTTGTGTAAATAATTTTAAAGATTTAGAAATTGGACCACTGAGAACAATGTTTTGCAGGTCTCTTGAAGTTTATAGACTTAAGTTCAAGTGTGCACAGAGAAAATTCTATTCGATGCTTTTTTTGTCAGAACAACTCAAGCTTGTTGGTAACAAGTCCGAATAAAATAATCTTTTGTTCTGCTTTTACAATTTCCGAGATAAAAGCAAAAAAGAAAAAAAGAAAAAAAGAAAAAAATTCGCCAATGACACCTAGACAGACAGACCTTTCATCTTCATAGCACGGTTCACAATCATTGGGATGCCGTGGAAAGAGGTCTCGTCGATATGGCTCGAGCCAATCGGTCTGATGTCCCAAAAGGGGCCATCAATGGCTGTCTTGAACCAAAACTTGCGAGGTGGGGATGTTTAGATTAACATCCTGATGTGTGTCTGTGAGTATGCGGATTTTTGAAAGAATCCAATGCTTTATGATGCTATTTACAGTTTTACGTACTCTCTATATTTGTTAAATTGGATAATTTATTAGGAATTTGGTTCACGTTCACCACAAAACCATTAAATCAAATATATGAGATTAACTTTGATCGAATTTAGTTGTGTAGTTATATAAGTTTGGCGTTTTTCTTCTTCTTTGTTCATTGATTTCAACAAGCATAGATGAGTTGATCAGTATCATAATTTACCGAGAGTGAGTTATGAATTGAATTAACTTATCGAAACTGGAATTATTGCATGTTGATAATTGTATTTCGCTGTGGGAATATTGTTATAAGTTGTGTTAGACATAGTTGATCGTTGCGAGAATATGCTTGGTTAAAATGTTAAGAAATTCGAGTATGAATATATACTCCACTGAATTTATCTATCTAAACGCCTAAATAAATTGATTTGGTGTGTCAGTTGATCTGAATGAAATGCTAGCTCATTTCATTCAAAAGGATTGAGTTAGTAATCTTTATACCGTTTACAAAACTAAATTTAGTGTGTCCACTCAATAGATTTGTAACCATAAATACTTTACTACAATTCGATGAAAGTAGGGTATGAGCATTCAGATAAACATCGGAAGTCCAATCTATAAGACACAAAAGATTGCAACGGGCAGACCATTTTCAATTGGAGATGTGACCCACCATACTGGTTGCCATTATTTTTGTTAGGCAGCTTTTAAAAATAAATCTGGAACACAATGTATACTTATATACATGTCTGACTTTAAATCACTACTTAAATGATAGTCATACTAAAAATTAAATCTGTTCAAAAGAATCAAGATCAAATTACTATGCTAACACATCCTATTTTTAGAAGTTTAATAAAATTAATATTAAATGGAATCGACTAAAGGATTTAGTAGCAGATGGATGAGAGAAACTTCAAGGTTAATTTTTCAGAAGGTGAATGGAATCGACTAAAGGATTTGTATAGATTTTTAAAGTCATTTGATGAAATCACTCAGTTTATGTCAGGTTCCACATATCCTACTTTTAATTTGTATTTCAAGCAAGTTTGGAAGATCCAGAATTTTCTGAAAGTGAATGAAAAAAGCTGAGATGAAATTATGAGAGAAGTGATCATATCGATGCAGGAGAAGTTTGACAAATACTGGGAAGAAGTGAATATTATCTTTGCAATGGCAAGCATCTTTGATCCACGACTAAAGCTTACTTTTGTAGTATTCTGTTTTACTCAGCTTGATATAGTATCTTTTCAAAAAAAGATGGAGTGTTTACGTGGTAAACTGTGAATGATTTTTGAGTCGTATGAGGACAAGCCGAAGTCGACCTCGCAACTACACAGCCTGGAGAAAGTGAGAAAAGCACATATGATGGAGAACCTAAAGAGAGCTTCAACAATTATGATGTAAGTATCTTTCTATATATTTAGTCTTATGGAGTTTGCTAGTATATATTATTACTAAGTTTCTGTTTTTTTTTCCAGGATTTCTTGGTCTTCCGCAAGACACATGATGTTGTTAGTGAAAAGTCTAAGCTGGGAATGTATTTTGAAAAAACTGCATTTAAACATGGCAAGTCATATAAGCATGGACATTGTGGATTATTGAAAAGACAACTCTCAAAAATATAGTCAATTAGCTTCAATGACTTGTGATCTACTCATCATTTCTATCATAACGGTAGCTTCAGAATCATCTTTGAACATTGGATCTCCAGTCTTGAATAAGTACTGAAGCTGACTTCTTCAAAATAATGTGTAAGATTTGATCTGCAGTCATAATTGCTTAAAAAATTTTAAAACATATGAAAATGGTAAATAAATATTTTTAAAAAATACTACATGTGTACAACTAAAGTTTCAAAATTGGGTACTAACTTTTTTTTATCTCATATATATAGAGGAGTATGGAAAGTACAATGATGAAGAAGATATCACTTCTTTTGAATTAATTTATGATGATTAAGATGAGTGATATGCAAAACTAGTTTGTTAATTTTTTGGATTAGTTTTTAAAGTTTGATTTTTTTATTTTTGAATTGGTCTAGAATTTCAGTTTGATTTCATTTGATGACCTCTTTCTCTTATTTTGTTGAACTTTAACCAATCTTACTTTTTTCATCATGTTTTTCTTTATTTTTTTTAATATAAAATCGATTTTGCAATGTGTTGTGTATCTTTGTAGAATTATGATTGATTATGTATTTATGTGAATGTAAAAGTTACAATATATCATAACAAAATATTAGATTTAGAAAAACTAGTTTTAAATTTAGGGATTGACCAAATTGAAACAAAAACTGAATCAAGAAAACATGCTCGTGGTCGTGGGCCAGTCCGTAACCTGCTGCGGGTCCTACTCGCACAGACAAATAAAAACTAAAGTTGCCATAGGCAAATAGGCAAATTCTTCGTCTAACATTTTTAGTTCTGAAGGTAACCTTGCAAAATGATGGAAGGATAGAAAAACACAAAAATAAAAGAATTTTGTTAATTAGAAACACACAAAAATGTAAGATTTGCATAATTATATTTTTGTTTATAGATAATGTAAAAAAAGTTTCATTAAACTGCTAAAAATATGTTTTAAGTAAATTATTTACTGAATTAAAGTTTTATACTATTCAATTATATTTTATTAATTAAATAAATGCAAATAAATAATTTGATACTACAAAACTTTATTTAATAATAAAAGTATGTCAATTATTTTAGTTTTGAAATACTTTTAATTTTTTTATAATTATTATTTTATAATAGTTAATCTAATTATTAATATTTTAATTTATATAATATATGATAAAACGAATATTTTTAAATTATCACATTTTACTATTTTGTTAAGCTACATAATTTATCTAATTATATTAAATTCTATAGTTTTATAATAAATCATTGATAATTTTTTTTCCGTCATTTTACAATTTTAATATATGACGCCTTTGCTGGAAAAAAAAAATAATAGGATGAAAGAAGATCTTATTATAGCACTAGAAATCGGCGAGTTATTCATGTATTGAAGAGAGAGACTGTCTTTCTTTTTTTATGATCAAGGAGAAAGAGACAATTCCACAGAATAGACTCGAGCTAGAAATTGAGGAAACGAGACCCACCCGACCCGATTTCATTAAAGCAATCTACATAAAAACCCGACCCGATTAAATCAGTGAGCAGTGAACCTGAAGAGCATAACATGCAAGTAGCTGTCTCCGGGATTCACAATCTGCGACGGAAAATTCTTGTGGTTCACCGAATCCGGGAACCCTTGCGTCTCCAGACACAGCCCTCCGTATTTCTCATAAACCGCCTTCCCTTTTCCGACGACACGTGTCATCATATTACTCGTGTAAAACTGAACTCCGGGCTGGTTCGTCCACAGCTCCATCTTCCTCCCGGTGACTCCCTCCGAAACGACCGCAGTTTTCCTCAGATGTTTCCCGGCGATCCCGTCGATCACGTAGTTGATGTCGTAGCCGCCGGGTAATTCTTTGATCCGGCTTCCGATCTCGCGAGGCTCGAGGAAATCGTACGGCGTTCCGTCGATCGAGCTGATTTCTCCGGTGGGGATGAGTTTTTCGTCCACGGGGGTGATTTTTCCGGCGAGAAGCTGGATTTTGTGCGAGAGAATGTCGCCGGAGTTGTGGCTGTGGAGGTTCCAGTATGTGTGGAGGGCTAAGTTGATCGGTGTTGGTTTGTTGAGTGGCTTTGCCTCCATTTTCACGGCGAGTTTGTTTTCCCCGATCAACATGTACGTCACTTTCACCGTCACATCTCCAGGGAATCCTGTCCAATTAAAATATTAAATTAAATGAACGTCTACATTTATTTTGAATGATAATAACATTAAAGTTTCTGTCAAAATTCCACTAATTTTTGTTCAAATAAAACCATCCACAGATTAGGAAAAATTCCAAATACATCAAAAATATAATACGATCTACTGTATGTATATTATGAGTATAAATGGTATATTTATTTATTTACCTTCTTCACCGTCGAAGCTATCGTATTTGAAAGTGATGTGGCTAGTGGGAACATACTTTTCGACTGACCAAATCACATCGCTAAAACCCTTTGTCCCACCTGAATTTTTTATAACCCAAAACTTATAAAATGAAATCGATTTGAAGAATTATATAATAAAAAAAAAAAAAAAATGGGTACCATGGAGAGTGTTATGGCCTTCGTTGGGATCAGTCTTGTACGTTTGACCATTCAACTCGAACTCGGCATCTCCAATTCTATTAGCCACTCTTCCCACAATTGCTCCAAAATAAGTTGTGTCATTCTATTGAAAAATCAAAATCCAAAACAGAAAAATTATACTACCAATACTGTTTTGTTTTTAGTGTATTAATCTATTGAAAGAAATAATGACGCATAGATAACGTCTAACATCACGTGGGAGTCACGACTTCGAGATTAACACACATAAAGTCAATATAAAAAGTATTATCTTTTTAATAAGTGGACCATCGAATAACGTGACGATCTTAATGGAGATGCCTTTTGAGACGAACATTCGAGTTCTATCCAAATCTTGAATTTTTGACCAAAAGAAAAGTGATAATATGAAAAATAAACCCAAATTAAAAGCAAGAAAAAGGAAAATGATACTACCTTGTAACCATCAACAGTATCAAATCCGAGAACAACATCGTCTTGCTTTCCTGGATCACATAACAAGACGACAAAAATCAGATCTAATAGAAGAGAACAGAATATGGGGAGAGAGAGAGAGAGAGAGAGAGAGAGAGAGAGAGACCATGTCTGTCTGGGAGAAGAAGAGAGGTCATGACAGCACCATAGTTAGTGAAGGTAACAGACAAGTTTCCTCTGGTTAGTTTATAGGTTTGGATCTCTTTACAGAGACTGTAATTAACACAGCATAACAACAACACCATTACAGACACACCCACAGATAATTGCTTTTTCACCATTTTTTTTTTTTTCAGATCAGTATCCGAATTGATGAGTAATGAGAGAAAAATGGAAAATGAGCGGAGAGAGATAAGTTAAGATTTTGTTATGTCTGTGTATCCTATTTATATTAGTGTAGATGTTATCCGTGACTTTTCAATTTCTGTGTGTGTGTAATTTCGATTTCTATAAGATATTTTAGCTATTCTACAAAAAAAGAAGAAGATATCTTAGCTTGACTTTTTATTTTAGGATTTATTTCTAGAACTGGTAGTATGTTCTGGGAAACCTATTAATTCACAAAACATCCTTTACGAAATTGGTAACGACCTTAATTTTCAAGAAAAAAGCGTTCGTTTTAAGGAAAAAATATAGGGAAAAGTTACCATAGCAACTGAATTAAATTTTAGGTTCTTTTAGTTTCCTCTATTTTTTTTTTTTTTGGTAAAAAGTAAAATTTAAGGTGTGTTGACTGTCCCTGTCAGTTAAAATATGGCTGACTGCTCATTTTTGAATACTTTTATTATATTCTATTAATAATTTTATTGAATAATATTCTATTCTAGTATATAGGTTTTTTCTATCTTTTTATTGTTTGCTATTCTGTTGTCTCTCTTCTTTGAGTTTGGTGGTATGTAGTGTCACAAACAATGTCTCATGCGTACCGTACCGTGTACACCGGACCAGTATTAACAAGTGGACACAGGACACCCTTTGCTCTCCATCAATGGTTTTGATTAGTACATTTAAATTGCTTCTACATTATTCAGTCCTATTTCCCCAAAGTAATTTTTATCTTCTTAAAAAAAAATTGATTTTTCGGTATTTTATAATGAAAAAGCAAAGGCATAAAGTACTGAAAGGGCCAAAGGCAAATAATGATAGGATAGGGCAAAATAGAGAAGCGATTAAAAAGGGATAAGACTCATAGACTCTCCCATAAATATAGTTAGGCCAACCACACGACTCGTGATTAACAAAAAAGAAATAATCAAATTTACGTGTAAAGATCGATGACAAAATTTAACTATTTACGGATAAGAATGTGACGCTTTCACTCCAACTCTTCCGGCCAATCAAATTGATAAAATAATAGTAATTTTTAGATAGAAACGTCATGACAGTTTTATGTGTTGCCGTTACAATTTTATGTTGTAATTTTTTGATAATTATATTACTTGAAATAAATCCTACAATGAATTGTTAATTTTTTGATAAATATAATACTTGAAATAAATCATTTTTTTAAGTATTTGAATTTTATTACTAAAATGAGCGGGTTTGTAATTACAAAAAGATTAACCAGTAGATAGTTCTTTGCCAAAAAAATAAAAAAACAAGAAAATATCTAAACTAAGAATACCATAAAGGGAAGATCTTAATCAAAGGTGAGCCACGTTTGCATCAGATCACCAAATCATTTGCTTTTCTTTTTGCCAAGAATAGTGTCTCTCGTCAGCCTGTCAATGGTCTTGTAGATGGTATGAGGCGTAGCTGAGATGTTGTTGTGGAGCCTGTTATTTCTTTCACTCCATATCATATAGATTGTAGCTTGAACTACTAGCCTCCTAAGGGTGGTCGGGCAGATGCTATCTCTAGAGCCCAGCCAAGAAGAAAACGCCATCCAAGTGTGAAAAGAGAATGGCTGATATCCCAATCTTCTCACAACCGTAATCCAGATTTCCTCACGTACTACACAACGGAGAAACAAGTGGTCATGTGTTTCTGTGTAGGTGTTACATAAACAGCATTTGTTTTCAATCTGTAAGCCCCAAGAAACCAAACGATCTCTTGTAAGAAGTCGGTCTAGATGAGCAGTCCACATCGTGAAAGCATGACGCGGGATTGCTCCTTGGAACCAAATATTTTGCGTCCAGGACTGAAACAGAGCAGCAGGTCGCATATAATCCCAAGTCTGCTTAGCCGAGTAATTACTCAATTCGTTGCCATTTACAAACCAACAACACAAGTCTTGAAATAAATCCTACTATGAATTGTTAAACTATCTTAAAATTACCAACACAAAAATTGAAAAGGCTCGAATAAAAATCTCATTTACACTCGTATAAAATAACATACATTCAAGAACAACATCGTCTTGCTTTTCTGGATCACAATATAAGACGACAAAAATCAGATCTAAGAGCAACCCCAATGGTAACACTATTAGTTTGGGGGTCTTAATAATTAATTATTAATATTTGGTAGAGTTTTTTTATTTTATTTTATGTGTTAATTTTTCTTTCCATTCATATTTTGCCACTTGTCTTTATCTGTTCTTAAACCAGAAAAAAAAATCTTATTTTAGACACTTGTCTAAAGTATTAGACACTCTATATCATTTTTTAATTCAGTTATATTATTAAAAACTTGTTTTTAGATCCCTACAGATCTGCATTGGGGTTGGTCTAGACTAAAGAGAACAGAAAATGGGTAGAGAGAGAGAGAGAGAGACCATGTCTTTCTGGGCGAAGAAGAGAGGTCATGACAGCACCATAGTTAGTGAAGGCAACATACAAGTATCCTCTGGTTAGTTCATAGGTTTGGATCTCTTTACAAAGACTGTAATTAACACAGCATAACAACACCACCATTTACACACCCACATATAATTGCTTTTTCACCAGTTTTTTTTAGATTAGTATCTAAATTCTCTATATATTTATTGAGAATATAATTTCATGAAAAATGTTGATTTTTTTTTTAATTTGATTGGTTAATATGTTTAGTTTGAACAATTTTAATGTGACACAGAAATGATGATGTGTAATGATGATGTAATTGTAACATGTCAGTTTTTAGTACACATGGCTTATGACATGGTATTATTTAAGAAAAATTACTCAGATATCATACAATTAGGTGATATGACCAGTTACATACAAAACTTTTTTTTATTACTATCATATTTTGCCTATATTTTCTATATCCAGCGTGCCCTTGTTACATGTTATAGGAAAAAATATAATTACAAGGAATGCCATTATTTTTTAATTCCATATGAGAAAAAACGCGCCGCCACGTCAGAAATCGTGTATTAATGAACTCAGCCGTAAAACGCTACAGCGACAATGACGGCTGAGTTACAGTATGTTGCGGCTGATTTAAGGAAAATGGCTGAGTTATGAGCTAACGGCTGACTTACGTGTATAACCCAACCTGGTGTTTCGGCTGACTTAATGAAATATGTCTGAGTTATGAGAAAATGGCTGATTTACGAGCATAACCCAGCCATAAGTTACGGCTGAGTTATAGCCCGATGGTTGATTTGTCAAAATTTGGCCGAGTTATTTTTTTGACACGACTGAATTAACTTTCTCCGGCTGGCTGAGTTATTGCTTCGTTATGACTGATTTTTGTGTAAGTGTCATAAATCAACCGTAATGAGCTGGGTTAACAAAAAACTCGGCCTCATTACGACTGATGTAGTAGCGAAAGATTAATTACCACAATAGCATGCTTTGACGGCTGGCTTATTAAACTATACGGCTGAGCTAAAAATTTTCAGTTGAGTTATGACATTAAACGGCCGAATTTGGCAGCCATTTTTTTTATTTTTTAATTACTGTAATAGTATTTATGTTACGACTGACTTTAAGTTTTTTTTGATGGCTGGTTTAAGACAGTTGATTTAAGTGTTCGTTTGGTGGCTTACTTGCCACTTCATCAATTAAAAAATGACGTCGGATGCATATTTCCATGTCATCACCAACGGAGAAATACGAAACGTCGTCTTCGTCGTCGTCTTCCTCGTCGTCGTCATCGTCTTTCTCGTCGCTGTTGTTCTTCACCTTGTTCTTCACAACAACAGAGATATCCAAAACTTAAATTTTAAACATCTGATTCGTCATCGTCTTCCTCGTTCTTCTTCATTTTCGTTCATCCTTCTCCGATATATGATGGATCCGGTTTCGGTAATTGTAGTTTCTGGTACTGGGTAAAGAAACACAAATATGTATTTAACACCGATGATAGAGGGTGTAGAGTTGTGCAGATAGATGCGGAAACAACGCACGACAAGCTTGTGAAGTTGGTTCTCGATGACTACAGATTGAAGGAGTTGAGCCATCATGTAAAGCTCAGCTACATGTTCTCAAACAAGGCTATGAAAAATATGTCGCATGATACTCCACTAGTTTATGTCTTCAATGATCGACAATTGCAATATTTTCTAAGCTTATGGAAAGTCGATCAGCTACGTCTCTGTGTAGAGTTTACAGAGAAAGTGTCCAGCAAAATTAGTCGGAAGGATGGATCGAGAGGAAGGATGAAATGGCCAATCAGTTCTGACTCAAAAGTAGAATCTAGATACGCAGATTACAGTGGGGGATTTGGTGGTTTCTGTTATGATTATAGTAAAAACCAAGACGAAAAAGACGATGAAGATGTCAAAGGAGCAGATGACGAAGAAGAAGATGATAAATTTTCAAGCTGATTTGATGTTTTCGACGACTCCGATGGTGCGTCATCTGATGATGATAACTTTACTGTATACGGCAAGCCTCAGAATAAAGACGAAGATTCACCTAAACCACGAATGAATCTGCGTTAAGTCGGCCATGTCGTTAGAATAACTCAGCCAAACCACGAATGAATCTGCGTTAAGTCAGTCATGTCGTTAGAATAACTCAGCCAAGCCACGAATATGACATAACTCGGCCAAACCACGAATATGGCAGATGTGAATATTTGATACATTTCTGTAATTAAACCGCTTTAATAAGTTATAATTAACATTTTTATTCACTTTACCGAATAATGATCATGAAATTAGCTCATGTTTGTACCTTTTAAAACTTATCCAACAAAACGATTAATCTCAAATCCTAAACCCATACATTGTGAAGCTATACTTAGATTTCATTCCTAAACAAACTTACATTAAGGATTGCAAGTTATATAATGTGTCAAATTTTCAGCCTCTTTAATTGCAATGACATTGCAAGTTGCATTTAAGTTTTGTTTTGTTTTGGATCTAACCACCACAACATCTTAATCAAACATAAATAATCATGAATCATATAAGGGATATCCTTACAAACCAAACAAAAAGGGTCAACAGAACATCTACTTATGCATCTACTTATGCATTGCCGATACATAACAACTTCAAGATCTTTGCTCTCCATCCAAATTCAAATCGTTGTTGTATATCACCATCTCCTGCACATTTCTCCACCTCATGCTTCTCCAATTCTCTACGAAGCTCCACATTGTTGTACTTAGTTAATCGATCATATTTTTCTTCTCCCGGATTTCATCTCGAGCTTGAATCAATGCTCTTTTGGCCATCCTTCACCTCTTCTTCATCAAACCACCTAAAGTATTTGCAGTGAAATGTCCCACCCTCCTAATGACACACAAATAAGATTTTTATACAATCAAATATGTTATAGACAATCAATCATTCTCCACACCTTGTACAATTCACAGCCGAAGAACCTTCGATCGTGTTTTTATCTGTCCAACAATCACACAATTTAAGATCGCCGAAAGTTCTGCTCCTATTGTTACTAGATGAGCCCATATTTAAATCCATATAATCAAAAACCAAAATAAAACCCTTACTCAGCAGAGACAAATTATTTTTATGCATATGTCTCTTTGATTATCTATAACTGAAACATG